CTTCGAGGGCTGGAAGCCACAGACACCTTCTGTCTTCCAGCCCACCAGACCCACGCGCCCAGGAGTGAGGTATTTAACTACGGATAAGGCTCTCGCGCTCGCCTTATACTGGCTATTCCGCACAGGCGGACAACATCAAAAAGGTAGCTGACGATGGCCGAACGAAGTCGATTTACATATAGCGTGCAATCAATAAAATGCAGCTAACAGACTGGCCAACAGGAATGAGCAGATCTTCCTACCACAGTAACCGTGTACACGTGTATACTTCACGCGGTGTGGTTGCGTGATGTGGTATCAAGCGTGCAGTCTACATCTCCATCCAACGTCAGATGTCTCGCGGTCATACAGGTTAAGTGTCAATCTACAAACGCAGCCTTTGAATTTCAAAGTTTGAAACGCTGAAGAGCAAGGGTCTGTTCCTGGGCAGACTCGTTTTTAGCGTCTTCTGGCAACAAGCTGAAGAAGCTCTTGCATGAGTGCACGTCGAGTCGACGGCATGTCACGCCGTGAAATACCATCGATGTCGCGAATGCAGATCACGAACCATTGTCAGAGCCTGATACCTAAGGTCTGAACATCCGGTCTTCGGTACAGTCTCTCATATCGTGAGCAAGATCTCGAATCATGCTCCTAGATCACACTCCAGCTGCTGGAGTCCAGCATGAGTGCTCCCTTGTCCCACCCAGATCGAAGCGGAGTTCACTGTGTAACCCCAATGTCTTTTAGCTCCGGCTTGTACTCGCGTGCCAGAACTCAGCTGTGGCAGCTGTGCAGTCCGTCCGTATAGAGAGAGAGCCATACACAGTTCCTTGTATTGTAACATACGGTATGTTACATACCACGAGCGGTAACGAACCGCGGCAGGGTGAAGTCGGTGTAATCGTCTCCATGTAGAGGAACGACTTTCCTCCTCACCACCCGTGAACTATCTTTTTTCTTGAGCAGCACTGCTAAGAGGATCCGCTTTGCCATATCCTTGCTTGGGCATCATATTATGACTGCTCAATCTCTGCAGAGTGATTCCTGGCGCGGAAGTGCCGGTCGAGTGGAGAGGAACGTGTTCGTTCAGGTGCATCACAACTGTTGAATTCTCATCAACAAACTCTTCAGCTTAAGTCTTATTCGTAATGTCCTATACCTTCGGCCTTCTCTCGTTTGCCATTGTGACGCAAGCCCTGGGACAATCTGATTTCCCTTTCCAGGTCGTTGCTGATTACCCAGCGGGTTGTCATGGTGGGCCCGGCCCAGGGGAGGGAAGCGCCATCACCGATCTCCTAAAGCCGTCCTGCATTTACAACATGAAGGGCGTCACATCTGAAGGCGTTATTAAAGAGGCTGCCGGGATCATTCTAAACACCAATCGGCCTGGGCGTTATGGTGGCATGCATGTTAACTTCACCGTGTTCAACAAGCCGGGCATCGAATGCGGTACGCTGGTGGAGACGTATGGTTGGGCTCACTTGAGTGTCGGTGATGAAACCCGAGACTTCTGGTGGAACCCAGCCCCAGGGGAGGATGCCTATGGCCCTGGATCGCCCATCCATATTGCTACTATCGACTATGGTTCTATCCCTGATGCAAACGTTAGAACGTGGACTTCGTGGCATAGTCTAGACGGTACAGCTGATTGCAAAGGGTTGACTCTAGTATCCAGTCAGAAACCCTTCTCCAATGTACCTAATCCTTCATTCTTCACCGGACAACAGCTTATCATAAAACAGAGGTATGGTGGTTGGGACTATTTGGTTACGTATCAATTCCGAGATTCTTCTGGGAAACTTGGAGAATACACTAAGTATGTCGTTCGCGGCAATCTGCAGGACAAAAAGTGATTGGTAATCAGCGTGTGTTAAACACATTGTGTTTCACACACGCGGTGAGGTCGATAAAGATGGCCTCAGTGCTGGTGGCTTACGCAGTGTGTATGCGTTTCGAATCTTACGAGACGCTCAGATCACTTTCATTACAACATCCATGTATTAACCATTATTTTGTCTTTCCTTATCATCCATTACGCTCATGTCATGCGCTGGTTCTGCTTTTCACTACTCACTGGTAGTACCAAAGCGGTACGCAGACCTGCGTGCTGCTGTACGCGGTATGATACCGCGATAGTTGGATAATCCAACTCTTTCACGAGCACATTCATACGCTCATTTTTTGCACTTCGAGAAGTACTGAAGAGTGAAGCTGTATCTGGGCTTTCGTCGCCATTCAACGATCTTTGAGCGGATGGTTATTGAATTGAACACGAGCAAGATGCTGCGCCTTCAGCCACAGGTTTCTCGAAAGTAGCTCTTTCTCATCCTTGACTGTTGTGGATGTTATTGCGTTTACACATAGAAGGCACTGAGTGCCTTGTGACGAGTCTCGTCACATCAACCCGACTTCTCACGCTACGAGATATTTTGGACTAG